ATTATATTTTAAAATATGTTTTTATACATATCTAATTTTATTCTTATTGTGTATATTATATTACAATAATCATGTATAAATAATATACGTATGTATATTATTTACAGTATATCCCGCAAATCGTGGTCAATCGATTGGTAGGTGATTCTATATGTAATATTAAATTGGAAAAAAAGAATAAAATGTTTTCATTAAAGCCTTCGTTTCCGAGAAAATTGTATTAGAATATCATGTATACTTACATATATACATAAATTTAAAACACATAGAATATATGATTTAACTAACTCTGTAGATAGAATATCCATGTGTCTATAATTCATACTAGATTAGCACGAATTATTGACACAAGGATATTCTATGTACAAAGATAAGTGAAAAATATGAAATAATATTCTATATTTTTTACTTATTTTTGCACATAGAATAATCTTATTTAAATTATACTTTTTGGTCACGTTTAAAATTAATTAAATTCAAGTATAATTGTTAAATCTTTAAACTCAATATTCGAAAACGAAGACTCAAATCAGAATATTTTATTTTATATTTCTTTCTTGTTTTTTTTTGTAAAGAATCCTCTTGCTCGACTTATTTTTCAGACACACGCTGTATATTTTTATAATTTTAATTGCATTCGTAAAAATATCAATTTGCATGAAAACCCAAAAATGTTGTACTGTATCAACAATAGCAGAAAGTTCTTATCGTGCAGATGATTAATTAATCTGTCAGTTATTTGCTCTGTTTCGGATATTATTTCAACTATAAATGATACTAGAGATGAATGATTTACATTATTTGTAATATTATTAGTAATATTAAGAAAAGTAAGTCAGAAATTTTTCGTCTTACATTTATGTCGCTACAATAATGATATTGCATTTTTGAAAAATATCAAAATATTGAATACCTGTATGTTACAATTTCGAAACACCAATCCACTTTTGAGTTTTTTGTAGATATTTCCTAGATCCAAGAGCCGCTCACAAGAATACACATTGAATACGAACAACGAAATATTTGACAGCAATAATCGTTCGCAGTTATATGAACGTAAAATATTCGATTTCCCACTCCTGACAATACAAATTTGTTTACAATGAATGAGAATGTTCTCATGAATTTAGCATAATACTTTTGACTGAAAGTGGAATTTGAGGAATCGTGATTTCAAATTTCCAGGCGGAATAACATTTGCACGATTTGAGATATAAATATGTCTAACTGCATTTATGTATGTGTTATAACACGTATTTCTAAATACATAATTTTAATATTTACCTGCTACTTTTTTCATTATTTTTTCTAGAAACAATCAAAGAAACTTTGTCACAACAAGCAAAGAACTTATGAATCTACTATTCTAAATTTATGCAACGACATCAGATAAATTTCCGAATGAAACTTGACTCTTTTGAATGCAGCCAATAATCTCTCACAAACCATAAAGAATCGTCAATATAATTGAACTTTTAAAAGAATTAATGGGATATTATCATTCGATGCCGTCGATTTTTAAATGATTTATTGGGTAAAAAATTATTAAGTATTAGATCGAGAGTTTTGAAATTTTGTACAACTGTTGGATATAATATTTTGAAGCAATGTAGTATAATTTTTGTATAATTATCTTTATTACTATTCGAATTATTACAAGCCTCCTGCAGTGCTCCTACGGTTTATGTTATTCCATTCATCTGAAAGGAAAGAATGAAAAATGAATTTAATCTATAGATAAGTAATTATTTTGTGAACTAGAACTGTGTCAATAATTTTTTTCACTTGATACTACACATTTATGAAATTTTATCTTATAAAATTGTTATTCTGTTAAAAAAGATGTTTCCTTTACTTCATTATAAATAAATCATAAAATAGATCACTTAAGATTTATACAGGTTACATTCATCTTTGATTTATGAATGATTATTTGATGAATATAATCGACGAATGCATCGACATATAATTGAGGAATACAATATAGCATTAAAAGTGATTATTCACCTAATATGCAGAACAGGAAACGATTTTCATTGAACAGTTGAACTATGCACTTTTCATTGTTGTATCATTTCTTTTCTCCATTATCAGACGTATAAAATTATACGTTACCATGGATAAGGAAATTTTTCATTTAAGTTTTCATATAATTTGTTCTCGATAAACATGCTTGGCTAAGAACACACAAATTGACACTAAAATATTTATAATTTAAAAGGATGATTAATTACGAAGTATTTACAAGTATCATCGTCGAAATATAAGTTCGACCGAAGTTTGCTCTCATACTTCCTGATTGTTTTTAACATGTTCTCCATTCTTCAACTTAACTTTCCTTGGAATTTTTTAAAAGAATCAATGAAGAAGATGAAATGATTAACGTTCAAATTAATACTTATACGAATTGCTGAAAATAAGTATATTTTTCAATATGTGTATTTTTTTACTTGTACATTTTACTACTTTTCGTGGATATCATGAAAGTAGTAAAATATATAAGTAAACAGAATCGTGTTTTCGAATGACTAGCCAAGTCTTTGGACTTAAATATTGTAGAAAATTATTGTGGGAATTTGTTTACTGCAATGGAACACACAAATATTAATAAAATTTTTAAAAATGTATTGTGGAAGAATGGAAAGAACTAAGCCAAAAAATAATTGAAAACTAATGAATCTTTATCACAAAGAATAGCTGCCATTAATTACTGTAAAGGTAATCATATTACGTATTGAACAATTATCAAACTTGTTTCTTTCGTGTCTATCTGTTGTTTTTCATGAAATGTGTTATTATTTTGATTCGCTAAATATCACCATTTTTTTTTAATAATACAAAATGTATTGCAAAAAGTTTAATTTATGTTATTTGTACATAGTGATAAAAGCACTACAGAAGAATGCTTATAAGAAAGATTTTGTACTATTCGTTAATAAAAGGAAATTTAATAATTTATAGAGTGTGCTATTGTTTTGTTTTGTTCCAAGGTGTATACTAATTCAATTTTGAATAAAATATGTAAATAACATAGGCGTTCATTTGACATCATTTTATTTTGTAACATCACCGAACATCTTGGCTGCCGGTGTCACTGCAGATCTTATGCATACTAAATTCTACTGTCTCATTATATTTTTCCACAGTTGGCTTTATTTACATATCTGTTTATTTACATTATATTTACTTATCCTCATACTACGCCTCGCTCAAAATATGTAAGTTCTATATCAATAAACTCCGACAATGGTAGCTACGGGTAACTGGTGGATCAACGGGGATCGTGTAAGCAGCGCTGTCTGCTCAAGTATGGTTAGTCACACCTCATTTTTCGTACTACATATAATTCCAGTTATTGTTGGTGCAATGCTAGGTAATGTGTTGCTTCAAGGCGTCGGGAGTCGCCGCTCTATTGTCATTGAGTCCCACTGATGAATTTGACTGGGCGATCCCCAGACGAAACGCAATTTTTCTTTTTACTTCAATTTCTCTTCCGAAACAATCTTTTTCCCTTATGTCATCCAAGCGTTGAGCATTTGTACAAAGGATTAGTCTGGGATGTAATGAGGTGGTTGATAGATACGAAATATTGCAGATTATTTCAAACCATTTATATATGCTTTTGTTCACTTCGATATTAAATTAGTTATACCCTATTCCCTATTCTAAACATGTAGCTGTTTCATATATGAAGTAAGCCCATGATTAAATTGTGTGAAGATGATTTTGTGGTTGAAAACAAGACAGTCAATAATTCAAGAATAACGAAATCGAGTCGAAAGCTTCGTTTTCACATTTGAAAATTCGAATACAGGTGTACATAACAAATAATTTCATAAACTTACTACTATTGTTGTTGATGCTAACAAAAGAGATTACGTTAATTCTCCGGCGATATCAAAACGATCTTCCACGAGGCTTAACAATATATTAGTATCATTTTATGAATTTGAAACATTCATCATTCGTATTTTGCCGATGAATTTGTAGATTAACTACTACTTCACTGATTTCGACGATCTCTTCTATCGTTTAGAAATATCATTATTGATATATTAATTATAGATATCAATATATCATTTAGAAATATTACATAATATCATTACCTTAAGAAATCGATACCTTTTTTTTTATGTGGAGCAAATCTTAAAAGAGACACCTAGTTCCTCTTAGGAGCCAGGTAGTGTCGGATTCCTAAAACCTCCACGATGACCTGCCTTGACTATCCACGTGTGCGGGAGGAGAGGCTCCAGGACCGATAACATTTCTCCGATGCTCCTGATTATTCGTCTAAGTAGCGAACTCTCCTTACTGTTATGTCGAGCGACAACGGCGGCTATAGACCGGTGCCGTTTCCTCCCAGAGTCCTGCTTGGAGGAGCGGGTTCTCACTCGTACCGCCAAAGACCTTTGGTTTTCGCGCCGGGATAGTAGGCGTTTCATCAAGCTATGCGCAGCTTGCTTTCCACGTCGGTCCGAGCGTTGACCGTGCTACTTCCTCTAGAGTTTGTTCTCCGTTATCGCTACTTTTCACCTATCCTCTGTCGCCACGTTGGTACTCCTCCCGCGACGTTTGATCATTTCCCTGTTACGCCGCCTGTCCCGTCGTTCCGCTCCCGGTCCCTCTCCTTCGCTTCTTTGATGGACAACATCTCCTCGCAGAAGCTACCTTTCTGTGGCTTTCGGAACCCATCAACGCACCGACTATCTACACTATCTACCCTACTGGGAACACATTGTCCCCGATGATGTTCTTCAGGGTGCGACGCTCTTCCTCAAAACATGGGCATTCCTCTACTGCGTACTGGACTGAGTTCAACTCGGCACCGCACTCCATGCATTCGCCGAGACCTCGGTGACCATCCGGTGCATATACTCATCAAAACACCCGTGTCCGGTAAGTACCTGAGTAATTCTGTAGCTGAGAATTCCCCGGCTCCGCAAAAGCTCCCAGTGGTCCAGGATTACTTCCATCGTGCATCGATGCCTTGTGCCGCAATTTTAGAGGTCCCAGTTCCACGTTTCTTGCGCCCATCGCTGTGTTTGTTCTCTTTTCTGCGCAGTCGCCATCTTAGTGGTTACCACTGCGCTACTCTGGCGTATCCTTACCAGTGGTAGAATTCTGAATCTGTCTCGGCCAGCACGTGGAAAAGTATTTATTAAACACGGATTGTTCTTATGGTCATCTGGCGTTGCACCCGGCGGAGGATTTTGTCGCCGCCCGTCGCGATGCTGCTTGCCCAGATCGGCGCCCCGTACAGTGCCGTTGATCTTAGCATATCCGTGATAGAGGTGTCTAACCTTTTCGCTCGGTTGTCCTATATTGGGAAGGAAGCGTTCTAGGGTTGCCGACGCTGTCTGCATCTTCGATGCCAGGCGTTTAAAGTGAGCTTCAAAATTTAGGCGACCACAGGGTACTTCAACTCGTCCCGGACAAGGATGCGCTCTCGGAGAAATCGATATTCTGAACGATCTTTTCCTCTAACGAATAAGCCCATATGCGTTATAGGAAAAGATACCTTCACAATACATTCAAAAACTCCGAAATCGATGAGGCAGTAGTCAATTTCACAGAATTGCCCTTGCCATGTGCATAATGCTGTTATGCATAAAGAAAAGCGTAATTGTCGAAATCTAAAAGTCTCACGTAGTTGCCACATTTCTGTTACTATTTTTTTCGTCGACTCGATGAAATGGTTAAAATAGCGAGTTAGAGGATTTTTCGTATGTCTTCGAATCCCGAGCTCAATCACAATTATCCGAGCCGACCCGAAGTATTGATCAGCCGAATCTGAATCATTTGAGCAAATTTTTATTTAAATAATAAATAATAAACAATAATTAAAAATATAATTTGTATTTAAATAAAATTTAAATAAAATGAAATCATTTAAATAATATCAAAAATAACTTAATCAATATTTTTGATTTTCCAGAAAATATTTGTTTCATATTTAATTATAATAATAGATAAAACAAAAATAATTTTTTTAAATTATCTATTATATTGAACATGAAAAAACCGAATGACAAAGTTATGCAAATAATATCGTCGCTTTTCATAAATATAATTTATTGAATTTTGATTAATTTTCTTTTTTCGACAAATCCTCGTTATAAGTATTGCATTTAAAAATAATTACAAAAAAAACAGTCACAGATAATAAATATTGAAGCCAATGCGTTACAAAATCATAGGAAAATTAAGATGAAAGAACGGCATGCTGCCTATATAAGTTTGACATAGTGTCAGTTTTCCAATTTCTTTTGTTGCAATTCGTTCAAGTTTCGCGATATTGTTTTGAAAAGATTAGTCATAATTTATAAAAATTTGTCTTTATCAATGGTTACAGCGGAAAGTGAATTATTTTTTAATTTAATTTTAATTAATAAAAGTTGCATTGTCTTCAAACATTTAATAAACAATTAAAATGAAAACGAAAAAATTTTAAAAATAAGAAAATTTGTATGTACAAATTTATTTATTTGTTATAAAGTTCTATAAAAAATGAATAAATATATGTTTCAAGAAATAAAAAATTTTGTTAAAAATAATAATAAAAGGAATTGAAAAGAATTATTTATTAAAATAATTGTTTATTAAAAATCTTTTCCCGATTTCAAATTTAAAATATTATGTTTTTTTATATTTTCATTTTCTGACAAGAGAACAGTATTAGACATGGCAAAAGAATGCACTTCAGCAAATGTGCTTTGAAAAGGAAATCTGTAATCTGTGTCCCATTAAATACATTGTTAGGAATTCATCATGCTACGAATCGTCTTCAAGTTCGGTTCAGGACCAAAATATAAATCAGAGAAAGATATACGTATTTTTGCATCCACGTGAAAAAATTTTGTTCTAATAAAATTCTGAGGAACTATAAAATATAAGTTTTTCTCCCATCCCTTGATCTGCAAAAATATAAATTGCACCACATAATGTGCTCCTTTGTACCAAATTTAGTGAACACATTAAACATAGATCGATTTCGCGAGATATATTCCGTAGATATAATTGTATTTTTCATTAAATCTTCATGAAATATTAAAGATTTACATTAAACAAATAAATAATTAAATAAATAATTGTTATTATCATAATATTATTGATAGAAAAAGTAGTTGATAGAGAAATTTCGAATAATATTTTAATTAATAAGCGTAATATTTAACTCATGAATTACAGAACTGATATTATTTCTCATAACCAATGCACTGCATAACTATAATAAAATTGTTAAAACTTTAACATAAGTTTGATAATGATAATCATAATTTAATATTAATAATAATTTAAAATAGTTGAAAATTTAGTTAGTTAAAAATTGTTTTTAACAATGTTTAATACAATATAAAACCATATATTAATAATTTTAAAATTTTAATTTACTACAAATTGTGAAAAAAGTTGTGATCCGCGAAAGATGGAGTCATTGACTAACTAGCACAGACTGAACATCCAATGCTTTTTCGTGTTCCAGGTTTGTTTGTGAATATCCTGTCACATGTATTGTAATACAGCGCTATTGGTGATAGAAATTAAAGTCAAAAAACTTGGACAGCGTTGCCGTTTCCTCATCGAAAATTATTTATTGAATTGAATAATTCAGTGACACTGAATCCAAAGACGAGTAAACATACATATATGTACATACAATAATCATAATAAATAAATGCGAAGCAAGTGAGAAATTGAAGAAATTTTTATTCTTGAAATTTGTAAAATTTCAAACGTTTTTAGAAATACTGAAAATACTGAGAATATTTTTTATAACTGGAAATCCGCCATAGAAAATTTGAATTATGTTTTTTTCAATGATATCTTAAAACTTCTTGTAAGAAATTCGGTATGTATATAGAATCCATGTAATAGAGGAAGTATAAACTTAACAAATGCCGATTAGCGCTAGAAGAGATAAGACTACAGTCTTATGACAAAGAACGGTGATCGGCAGGCAAGGCGGACAGACAAGTAATTCACGAGCTCTCAAACAATTCGGATGAACCGCAAATCTTTGGAATGTACAATTTTATAATTATTTCTTATATTACTGTACTTTTTTCGCCATTTTATTAAACTGTAATCAGGATTAGACGACGAAACGTCAGAATTTCTCGAATTTTTAACAATACATTAGTTTATGCATTAGTAATGTTTATAATATTATAACACGCAGAATTTAATTTTTTAATTCTCTAATATTTTAAAAACTAGCCGAAGCTAAAATTTTATATTTGAAGTCCTGGCCGCTTCTCTATTGTCTTTTTAAGTATCACGCGTTTCGTCTCCGGCAAGGAATTACAGTCCAAATAGATGAATCTCAGTGCAAAATAAGGATATTATTTCAATTGATCCGCTCCCCTCTTCTGAGATGTTTGCTGAATTCGAAAACTTAACTGTTCGGAAAATAATTTTGCGACACTTAACGTGTAAAAGACAACGAAAGGTTGAAAGTGATATAAAAATTAGATAAGAATTACACGGTGACAATATTTCCGATCGGCTGCTATTGGACAGAGATGAATGTTTATACGTATATATGGATATACTGTGCTGAGAGTTGCATTTGTGTGTGCTTTTGTTTATTCTGGACGCTCGAATTAGGCGCGATGTAGTGACGAAGAGTCTGTGGGTGGTGGTACTTTGAAAGAACAAAGAAAGAAAGAGAATATTGTATCTCCATTCTTTCAAAAGAATCACTCTTACGATTTGCCATAAATCGGTTGTCTGCATCGAGCCTAACGTTAGCTGCTAATTGCTTGTTCTTATTTTGTGTAATAGATTTTATGTAATAGATTTCGTAAAATTGAACGATCTACCTTCCAAACAGAGAATTCTCGAAGCCAAGATTTTATATCTTTGGAGTTCCACATTTCACGCTCTTCAAATATTATTTTGATCGGTGGCCATTTAAAATTAAATAAAATACTGTAGTCAACCACTTGCCAACGAAAATAATTTTAGTAATATAATTAGTAAAAAATTATTCTTAAAAATAATGATATAGTATAAATAATTATATACATGAAATGTATATTAATATTAAAACATGGATAGAGCAGATTTTGTGATATACACACAGATGTATAATATAAAACATTTTAGATACCAATTTCTTACATCAGAATCTAGTGGCATAGACGAGGTATATGTATTTCTACTTCGTTTGTGTTGAAGATATACAGTTGACAACACAGTAAAGGATATCATTTTCTTGAACCAACTTGTATCATTTTGTTTGACGTAATTCTCTAATTCACCGTTGTTTTAGCGTAGAAGTCGCTAAAAAACCAGTGATTTTTTTTCCTGGCCGGTATTTCAGACTCGGGGGCACGAAACTCCATTTGATGTTAAATCTTTGCAAGTTAGTCAATGATATTATGTAATTTGATATTTTTCAGGTATTTTCCATTACTTCATGAAACATTCGCGATGTCAAATTTACGTTAGACAACTGCTTTTAAAACCTTCTAGAAAAAAAAATGATTTGGACTTCTTATCCGTACGAAGAGATTTGCTTTATTTCCAATTATCTCTAAATTTGCTTGTGTTAGCCAAGGGCAACGGTCCACTTTTTCATGCTGGTGTGTCATACGCCCTATGCGTCATATGCCCCATGTGTCATATGACCCATGACCAGAAACTCCCACTACTTTCAAAGATATGATAATAGTATCCATATAAATACAGCCCGAAAAAATAAAGGAAGCAGTCAGTCCGTAAAATTTTCAACTTGCGTCTTTATTCTGTCCAACCTGGTCGTGCATTTGTTTCTTTGGGAATTCAACGTGACTCCAACCGTGACATTAGCAAAGAGTTCTAACGTCTTCCACGCGTGATAACGGCTGTGGTGCCGTGCGCACTTATTGTTTTCATTTTCGGCATGCAGAGCCTGTTATGTCCTTTAGGAACGGTTAACATCTATCGTTCGACTTAACTGACCTGCCCTAGGCAAATCAAACGTACCACGATTTAAAATGATTGGCTGGATATCACCGACGATATGAAGTAAAACAGTCTCGCATCGGCCGGCAGAGCGCAGCAGTCATTATCATCACTCTAATGTGAGCAATCGCTGCATCATCATCGTGAGCTACGGTCCTTTATATGAATTTATCATTTGTAAATTAATACAGTTCGCTTCCCGCGATTATCGATCCTTATCGAAATCGCTAATTTTAATACAAGTTCTTACTTCACGACACTTCGTTGCACGATCGGGCCGCCTCGCAATACAAGCGCGCGAATCGCGATTATACCGTTTGAAATATCGCGTCACAACAGATATAAAATAAAATGAAGTTATGTGAAATCTTGGATATCTATATAATTACGATCAATATTGCAGTTGTTTTTTATACTACATTTAATTCAGATCTAGATCTAACTTGAAATCAAAGCAAGAATTTTAAAAAAATATTCTTGTGAACATCTCGTAAACTAAAATTGAGCGATAGTAACATGTAATAAAGAAAAATGGAGTAAAACCACATATTTGATAACACATTTCAAGGTCATTAAAATCGGTGAGGAATACCGAATCCATATAATTATTGATTTTATTTAAAAAAAATTTATAAAACATATAAAAGATTATATTTATTGTGTTTAATTCCGTGATAAATTAACGTTTCGTTCATGAGTGACAATCTTATC